AAAAACCTTTCTCAGCTCATGTACCACACAAAAACAGGAGAGCAGACGTGACTCCTGGGCTGTCGTTTGCTAAGCCTGGTCTTGAAGGGAGCCCAAGCTTGGGCAGATAGGAAAACATCACAGTTGAATGCAACTGTGATGAGTGCCAAGAAGAAAGAGAACAGGAAGTGAGCAGGAATAATGGGGGCAGGGGGCCTCTCTAAAGGCCATTTAAACTTAAGGCTACATGAGAAAGATCCAGGTTGAAAGTAGGCAACAAGACTCCAGACTGTGCATAGCAGGTGCAGAGGCCCTGGGGTTGAAAAAGACTGCGGTGCCCTCAAGGACCTTAAAGATAATATAACTGGCATGGGGTACAAAAGGATGCAATTGAGGGCATCACCCAGACAGGTGTGGAGTTTGCATTTTAATCCAACTGCTACAGGAAGTAAATAGTAGTTTAAGCAGCAGGGAAGCAGATCTGATTTGGGTTTTAGAAAGATGGTTCCAGGCATGAGCAAGGGTCTGGCTGTGGGAAAGTCACGTAGAGCAGAGAGAGGGGAGAGCAGACATCTGCAACGGTCAGGGTGAGAAACTCGTGTGGAAGGTAGAGAAGTGGTGGTGTCCAGGATACACTCCGAAAGCAGAGCATGCGGCCTACGGAGACTGTGGAAAAATGGTGGCAAAACGCCTTTAAGTCTCTGAGCCCAGGCACCAAGTGACAGGATGGCGCTGTCTCCCAGGGACATGGAGGGCTGGGGACGGCGAAAGGGACGGCCTAAAGTTGCTCCTGGCTGTGCCATGCATGAAACACACTGAAGACACAGAAGCCATGTCCTCTACAGGAAGTCTATGTCACCTAAGCTACACTAAGAGCAGGAAAGGCCAAGAGCAGTGACACACGACAGCCCCGCACACAGTGGAGAAACAGCCGGACACTGGGCCAGGCTGGGGCAGCACAGACACCCCCTCTCCCTGTCGCCATGCCCTACGGGCCCTCAGCAAGAACACTGTCACCACCCAAAAGCAAAGCTGGCTGCTGGTCACTGCTCTGAGCACAGAGCCTATGCGGGAAGACGTGAGAAGGTCCAGCAGATGGTGGGAACTCTCCAGGATCAGCCTCAAAGGTCACCGTCTGTCACTGCCCGCCTGCGCCATCCTCTTACGCATCAGTGGAGTCTCTCACGCTGACTGAAGGCCCAGCCACAAGCTGCGCAATGACATTTCCTGTGGGCTGACTGTGTGCCAGGCACCGTGCTGGCCTTGCTCAGGGCTTAACGCACAATCCCCACTCCTGGCCTATGAGCTGGGACCACTCTCAGCCTCATTTGCAAAGAGGAAATCGAGGCAGAGCAAGGTTAAACAGTGTGCCAAGGTGGTCAGGCCCCAGGCTGCCTGTCTGCAAAGTCCAAATTCACCACCATGTGTGCGGCCTCCCCTATGGGGTTGCAGTTCTCTCTACTGCAAAATGAATGCAAGACTCAGAGAATCAGTTTCTGGATTCCTCTGAACTCTTACAGGCCCAGATTTGGGACACTGCTCCTTCTGTCCACTGACAAGGCTGTTCTCAGGAAAGAAGCTTATTGGCTCATTCACACTAGGGTGTCCATGACTGATATGTAAGTGGAGGTAAGGTAATGCTAGTGGAGCAGGGATTAAAATGAGGCCTGACTGGCTCCAGAACCTGGGCTATCCCCACAGTATGGCATTGTTCACAGTATGGCCACACCCTCTGGGTTTAGGATACTGTGCACAAGGTATTCACTCCCGTCAATACAGGAGATAGGTCAAACTGAGGATGAGGGGAGGTGGTGGGGCAGGGAGTGAGGGATATAAATTGTTAGATCTCTGAGTCCCTAGAGTCAGGGTTTCTGATCCCCAAGGAAGGTCTGGGTTCAGTTTACTCCAGCTGCAGTCTGGAGGACACCAAGCCTGGGAGAGGGGACACAGCCCCAGCCCTGCCTGCCACATAATCAGGGCTCAGTGTCTACATCTCTAGGAAGGGTGTCAGCCCTGCAATCTCACACCTATGAGTCTTGCTCACATCCAGCCCTGACATAGCCCATTAGCAGGAAATCAGCCTCCAGTGTCCCCAGCCCAGACCTCTGGGAAGGGCCCAGGAAACTCATGTCTGGAGCAAGGAGAGCTGTGAGGGCAGTCTTGAGAGCTCCCTCCTGGTCAGGGGTGCAGCCCCAGGTCCCCTCCCTCAGCCTCTCCTCCCCAGCTCAGCCTCTGACCACCCTCCCCAAAGTTCAATCTTTTTTGCCTTTGTAAATGGCTTTGAAGTTTCTCGCCCAGTCTCTCATTTTTATCCGTTTAATTATTGAGGAGGTCTCTTGTTGCCAGGCTGGACCATTAACCATTAACGCTGTGGAAAGGGACCCAGGGAATGCAGATCACAGCTGTCTGGCTCCCTCCCACCCCATCCCCTCCTTCCCAGCACAGCCCTCTCTGTTCTCCTCCATCCTTTGCTTCTCCATTCTTCAGGTTCCAGTTATCTCTGACACCTGTCCGAACCACTCCATTCCTGTGACCCACGGAAGCACAAACCATATTGAGCCCAACACATTCTTTTTTCTTTTTTCTTTTTTTTTCTGGCAATACTGATGTCTGAACTTGTGCTTGGTAAGCAGTTGCTCTACCACTTGAGCCATACCTCCAGTCCTAGTTTGCTTTTAGTCATTTTTCAGATAGGCTCTCCCATTTTCACCTAGGGCTGGCCTTGAACTAAGATCCTTCATCCTACTCCCCTACAGATGGGATCACAGGTGTCCACCACCATGTCTGGGCTTGTTTGTTGAGATAGTGTCTCGCTAACTTTTTGCCCTGACTGGCTTTGACCACAATCCTCCAGATCTCTGCCTCCCCCTCCCAAGTAGCTGGAACTGCAGATGTGAGCCACCTCACCTGGCCTCGCCATGTTCATTTCTGCTCAAAATTACAGGAAAGAAGGAGTCCCTGGTAACCCTGGCCCCTCTCCCACTGACCTTCCCCATCCCAGAGGAGAAGGGCACAGAAGTCACAGCCACAGACGGTCTGGGGCCATGAGCACCTGTGAGCATCTCCTCCCAAAATATCTGTGCTCCCAAGAACATGCTCTAAAATCAAATACCCAGTGGGACCACTGCATGGCTTTCTGTGTGTCAGGTGACAGGCACCAATCAGCTCCTTTGAGCTGGTCCACATCCCTGTGAAGTGGGCACTGTCCCCCATCCCACCTTTGCAAGAGGAGCGGGACCTCCACGATGTCACAGCTGCAAGCCCTGCCGGCCAGGCTGCTTTACCATGTTTCTAAAGACTCACGAAGGTTTTCATTACAGAGCTCACATAAGGAGGTCATAACAGTCACTTGCAGTGTGGCCTTTCCAGAGGCAGACAGGACAAGCCCAGGGCTTATCACTCTGCCATTTGGCCCAGGCTGCTGCCCTCCCAGGCTGGCCAACCAAAGTGGTCACTCAGCCAGGCCCAGCACCTCCTTGCCCCGGCTGTCCACTCCTCTGTGGGAGACTGGAGGGGTGGGAGGATCTGCCAGCCCACCTGTTCCTAAACGGTCCTCCAAGGACCTATGGGAGATGATGCAGGGCAACGCAGTCCCCAGAGACTGTTCAGAATGCCCCCTGCAGGGACAAAGATTCCTTCACATCTCCTATTTGTCTTAGAATTACATATGAATTTGGCGTTCTTCATATGCATCCATTTGTGTTAGTTACAACCGTGTTTCTATCCAAGTCGAACAGTCCAGGAAAAGCCCCGTTCTCAAGGACCACAGGGCACCGCAGGGACACTCCTGCACTGTATGCACTGGCATGGAACTCACGATCTTCACAACTTAAGCCTCCAAACCTTCCTGCGCCCTACTCACAACACAGGCCCCCAGAGATGCCCCCAAGTACTGATGCATTCTGGGAGTTGGTTAAATAGGTTCCAGAAAGGGCCCAGGTTAGAAGGATCCAGCCTCAGCCCAAGCAGCATCTCCCAGCCCTCTGCCAACCCTGGAGACAGGAGGGGGGCCACCTCCAGAGGCCAAGAGTGACACCAGGGTGAGGGAGGGACCCAGCAGTGGCTTCCCCTGTCCTTTCCTCTTCCCTTTCCCATTCTCTCCCTGAATGCTTGCACAAACACACGCAGAGCAAACAGGCAGGCTCGAGGAGAGAGAAGCGGGCTCATAATTATTGGTAAAATGCTTGTAATGTTTTTCTCTCTACCCAGTAGCTTTCGGTTGTTTTAGCAGCTTAGCGAAGCACTTGGCTCCAATTGAATTGCAAATCAGCAGCTCTTGCCCCGGGAAGAGAGGAAGGGAGGCGGTGTGGAGGGGGCAGGGCGGGGTTCCAGAAGAAAAGGGAGAAAGGTGTGATAGGAGGAAAGGCAGAGGGAAGGAAGAGAGTGAGTCTGGGTTCAGGGCTCAGAGGCCCAGAAGGCCTGCTCCGCCAGGCCTGTGTGCCAGTACTCATCTGCGTTTTCTGCAGGCCCAACAGCCCCACACCCCATCCAGAAAAAAATGCGGACATGTTCCCAAACCGCAACTATGGGGTGGGACAGGAGGGCCACCAGGGGCTTCCTCAACTACCCAGAAGAAAAATATCTCTTTCTTGGGAATCGCAATTATTTGAAAACAATGTCAAAACAAAAATCTTGCATTTTCTCCCTAGCAATCTCCAACGTTCCTATTTCTGTTCATTGTTTTTGTCTGCCTGCCCTTCTATCTATCCACCTGTCTGTCTGTCTGTCTGCCTCTCTGATGTTCCCCTGGGAAGGTGGAGTAATCGCCAAGCTCCAGGGATAGGTGCTGCTTCAGCACCATGGTCAGCGCCTGGAGCTTGGTCCCTGGGCACCACCCACACTCCAGCCACAGCACTAGGCACTGGAACCAGAGGACTGCCCAATTCTCAGACACTGCTCTGAGGGGCAACTTTCTGCCTTGGAGGCAGAAAGAGAAGAGGGAGAAGATGCTAGCTGGACAGGCACCCTAGGTTAGCTGAGCTGTTGATGGAAACACCTCTGAGGCCCACTGGGACACTGACCTTGAAGAGGCGGAGGATATTAGCCACCATGATGGAGACTGAGCTCCCCGAAGCACCGATGACACCCACCACTCGCTCGGGCTTGGTGATGATGGGCGGGCTGCCGCTGCCACAGCGGACCTCTGTGCCATCCTTCTCGATGAGCGCCTGCACAAAGGTCAGTGACTGCTCAAGGGCATGGGTGTCCCTCGAGCAGGTGTCCAGAATGCGGGCGCCCAGTGTGATGTTGGGCAGCAGGTCCGGGTCATTGTTGATGCGATCCAAAGCAAAGAGCATGGCCTCCAGCCGGTGGATGCCCTTTTCCTTCTTCAGTTCTCCACAGGCCTTGCCCTCCGAGCCCCGGCCGTGCACTGGGAACAGGCCTCCCAGCGTGATGTCCCCATCTATGCGGATAGAGTTCATGTGGGGATGGCCCTTGGGTTTTCCCAGGGAGGAAGGCATCCAAGGACTGGAAAAGCTGAGGAGCAGGCAGAGGGGCAACCGGGCCCACCACCAGCCCCAGCCTCTCTTCCCAGGCATCTCGCAAGTCCTAGAGACCCATGGATGGCGGGTCCCACTCCTAGCCCTGACAGGCCCCCGGCCCCACGGCCTGGGTGCACATGGGCAGGGTCGCTTCAGCAGCAGTGTGGCTGAGGGCAGGCAGTGGGGCAGACCATGCTGGAGTGCTCTCCCTCCTCCACCTCCTCCTTGGCACTCGGGCAGTGCTCAGCAGCCTGCACAGTCCAGGACCACAGGCAGCAGGGAGTGGCTGGGGCTCCAGAAAAGCTCTGATCCTGGTCCCCACGTCCTGCAGGCCTGATCTTGGACGATGACCGTGGAAAGGGAAGAGCGCTCCTAGCTTGGCGTATCTTGGCATCAAGTAGAAAACAGCTCCAATCCTCTCCTCCTACCGACCTGAGCGAAGGACAGAGAGAGAAGGAGAGTATCAAACAGAAGCCCAAAGAAGACATTAGCTATTCTGATCTCTCATCAGGAGTCTGGGAGAGGGAGATGCTGGAGGTTATCGCCAAAGACTCCATAAATCTCGTCAACTTGGTTTCCTCCCGGCTGCAGCTCAACCCTGGTTGAAATGGGAGAGCTGGAGGCAGAAACTAGGTCACATTTGAAGACTTCCCAGGGCCTGTGCCCACTGTCCTCAGAGGCTGGGGCCTGAGAGCAGCGCCCCCCAGCAACCACAGGAATGGCTGGGGAGTGGGGAGGAGAGCTTCCTCAACACACCCACAAAAGATATAGCAAGAAACTGGTCCCACTGACTGAAACTGAACCCCACTCTAGAGATAAGGGAACTGAGGCCCACAGAGGCACACAGAATGCCACGGAAGGCAGAGCCAGTCCTCTGCTGTAGTGAACAGTCTGAGACCAGGCTGGGAGCTGCTCACTAGGAAGACCAGGGTTATAGTGGGACTTTTGGGGTTCTGAGTGAGGTAAACCCTCCATTTCCACATGTCCACCCCAGGTGTGCAAGGCAAGGGCCCCAAGCAGGGGATAAAGCCAGCATCCCCTGCCTCCTTCTGCTTGCTCCTCCCACCTCCCTCAGCCTCCCTGGCTTTCCTCAGTCTCCATTCCCCCACTGCTCTTCTCTCTGTCCCCCTTCCCCTGCCGAAGCCGGACTCAGGTTACAGCCTGTACATTATTACAATCCTCGTCATTATTATTGTTGTGATTAAATATTTATCTGCAAGGGTAGAAAAGAGAACACCAGCTCTTCCTCATTCTCACTGCTAATTTGGGCTAATTTCCCCTGGGATTCCTTCCCTCACCCCAACCTCCCCGCCCAAAGCCAGCAGCTTTTCTCCCCTGCACTTAGGAGACCACAGGGAGAAGGGCTGGAAGACATGGAGTTAAGGCTGGGCTAGAGGCAACCCAAGGCCCCTTCCCCCTCCCCTCCCGCCGGCTTCTCAAATGATGACCATCAAGCCACTTGTCCATTCTGTGCCTCAGTTTCCCAGGCAGCTGGAAGAGGAGCTTGTGTTGGGATTGGGAGCTTCCTCCAGAGACATGGTGCCTCCATCAAGACGAAGCACGAACTTAGAGCCATCCCTTCCTACCTGCCTTTCTCCCACTGAGGTCCTAACAGTGAGGACATGGCACCCTAGAATCCAGCCTCAGTTTCTAGGCTTTTCTGGCCTTGGGGACAATCAAGGGCGAGGCCAGCCCAGGCAAAAGTTAGCAAGACCCCATCTCAAAAACAAACCAAAAGCACACGGGCTCTGATTTTAATCCCCAGTACATAAAAACAAAAGTGCTCCCTCTTCATTAGCTCCTCAGAAGTCAGGCATGTGACTACTAATTCCCCTTGGCCCCGTTCTGCACGTGAACCAATATCCCAGAGACATCACATAACTCTCCAAAGTCACACAGCAAATCAAGATGCGTCAGGTCTGGAAGCTAACACCAGCCACATTGAAGGAGCCCAGAGGAACCCCTTGGAAGATCTCACAATGCCACCTTCTCCAGGACCCAGTGACCCAGGGCTGGGAGCCAGGTGCTTTGGAGACAATGTAAGCGCGATCAAAATTCAGAGGCAGGTACAGGTGTGCAGAGTGGACCTCACTCCTTACACTCTGTGTAAATGAGCTTGTCAGGTGGCTTTCCCAATGGCCTAGAGAGGTGGAGTACCAGGGCACTCGTGTGGTGGCAGACAATTCAGAAAAGACCCTGAAGAAGCCATAAATGGCCGACTCCCACTACTGCCTTGCTGAAGATGAGGCTCATTCCCATTGCTCCTCAGTTTCCAAATCTGTCAAATGGGTGAGTGGGCACCTGCCACCCTGTGGGAACATTTTCAGTTGTCGCTGAAATGATGGGGGAGAGCCACCTACTAACCTGTGTTAAGGCAGGGCTCAGAGATGCTACCCAGCCTGCTATGGCAGGTAGAGCACATACAACAAAACACTGCTATTCACTCAAGGGCCGGTGGCTCATGCCTGTGATCCTAGCTATTCAGAAGGCAGAAATCAGGAGGCTCAAGGTTCAAAGCCTGTCCCAGGCAAATAGTTCTCAAGGCCCTAACTGAAAAAAAAAAAAAATCACAAAAAAGGACTGATGGAGTGGTTCAAGCAATAAGAGTATCTGCTTAGCAAGTGTGAGGCCCTAAGTTCAAACCCCAGTGCCACCAAGAAAAACAACAAAACATTGCTGTCCAGACATTGACAGTGGCCCCACAGGTTCGTGCCAGGCCTTGTTCTTTGAACTTTACTCCCAGTTCCCGGTGGAAGCTCATAGCGCTGTGAGCTGTGTGGTATATTCGACCCCATTTCACAGGTGAAGCTGAAGCATCCAGTGCATCCATGACATAGAGCCCAGCAACACAGAGGGTACAGGCTGCCCATGGCCCTGGCCACCCCACTGTCCTCAAGCCCCATTGGTCCCAACATCTTGTGAGTCCATGATTGTTCCCAAGAATGTCACAGGGAGGAATTCTGGCATCATGACAGAGCGTGGGCCACAGCAGGGCTGGCTCAGGCTGGGAGGCCGATGCACAGCAGCTCCTGACAGTTGGCCCTGCTCCGACTTGCAGATCCTTCATGCCAGTCCAACAATGGCTTCTGCTGGAGGCCCAGGCACATCTGGACTGAGCAGCGTGCACACACACACACACACACACACACACACACACACACACGAAGGACAGACGCAATGTGGAGAAGAAGTCCTGGGAGAGGAGAACGGCCAGCTCACAGGACTAGGTCCAGAGCCCTGTGGCCCTGCGGCCTGCTCCAGGCTGGTCAGATCGCCCTCAAGGCCTCCCACCTGGGAATGGATCCAAGCTCCTGACCACGGCAGGTCCCCTTCGGCCCTCAAAAGGCCTGCCTTCTGAGCGCCTCCAAAAAGCTGGGAAACATCTGCCTCTTTCATTCTCCCCTCCTTCCTTTGATCATGTAACAGGAACAAGGTAAAAGTAAAAATACCCTGAGTGAAAGGAGCCAGGAGAGCAGAGCTGGGGGCCGCTTCTCCCAGTGCTCCTTTCCCCACAGGCCCGCTCACCTGCAGAGGAAGGGGGAGCTGGAGACACCTGGAGGGGGTCCTTCTCTGAAGTCCTTTCCCCTCAGTTCCGAAATAGCCAGGAAGCAAAAGCCTGGGGCATGGGGCAGGGGGTGGCACTCCCCAGAAGGGGCCTCCAAGATGGCTGCAGGCCCATGCCAGGGGGTCTCTTCCCCTTCTCTTCCCCTTGTCTGCCCCATCTTCTCCTCTGGGCTGTCTCCTTTTCTCCAGCCCCAGGAAGGACAGAGCTCACACAGAAGGGTAAAGACAGAGAGCAGGGGGAAGGCTTGGCCACCTCCACATGGCAACAATTCACAGGCCACTGGATTTTCCAGAACATTCTCTTCAGTGAATGGAAATGGGGGCAGGGGCTGGAGGACAGCTGCAGGCCCCACAGTCAGGGTGGTGGGGACCAGTCTAGGCCTTTGCTCTCTGAGGGGCCCCAGGACCCTGCCTCAGAGTGACACTGCTGTCTTAACAAGCAGGCACTTCATGCTCTTCCAACCTCAGCCCCTCCCTGCCCAGCCACGGCCTGAGCCAGGAAAAACCACAAACCACAAAACAACCAGAGCCGAAGAGGACTACCATGATTCACTGAACCTCCAATTATTTTTCACTGAGCTTCTCTTAGTCTTCCAAAACCAGCGAAACAGAACAAAACCCAAACGCCAGAATAAAGAGCAAAGACACCCAAGAAACAGCCTTGAACTTGACCCCTAGCATAGGGACACAATCAGTGCCACAGGCTCCTGCACTTGGCCCTTTGAGGACGGGGCCCAGGCCAGCCTGGGGGGGTTCAGGCCTGGAGCCCAGCCCACAACCTTGGCCTTCCTGAGTCGTGCCTCCGTCCCCTCCACCTCTTGTCTCACCTCCGCACTTCTGCCCGCAAGGTGGCCCAGCCCAGGTGCTCAGGAAGCCGGGCCTGTGAATAGATGAGGAATCTGTTCCGAGTCTCCTGAGCTATTTTGAGGCCTCATAGCCCACATTTCACACAGGGAGGAAGGGGGACAGGGAGGGGGAAGGGCAGTGCTGCCTCCCCAAAGATCAAAATGAGGGGAACCAGAGGCCTCTCCCCTCCCTTCATCTGTGACCCTGAGGCCACCCCCTGGGAACCTGACTGCTGGGCGGAGGGGTGGCTGCTGGACAGTTTCCCCCAGAATGAACAGGAATTCAGGTCATCTGAAGCCCCATCCTCTACCCCAGCTCGGGCAGCTGCCCCTGTGAGGGAGCTCATAGTTTGATTCCCACCTGAATGAGGAGAGCCCACGCCATCTGATCCCAGCACACAGCTATCCCATGTGGCCGTCAGGCAGCACTCACCTCAGTCTCTGCACCCTGGCTGCACTGTGGGGGATAACCCCTAGGCCCTCTCCAGGTAGCCACTCTGTGTTTACAGGAGCCTCTGTAGCCACAGAAGCTCTCTAGCCCAAAGAAGTGGCTCTAATGGTGAGATTTCGGGCATGGGTTCAGGCAGGTAAACAAGGATTGATGGGCCATGAGGAGGCAACTGGAATTTTCCACCGTTCTTTGCTTTTACTTTATCTATTTATTTATTTATTGGCATTACTAGAGTTTGAACTCAAGGCCTTGTGCTTGCTACGCAAGTACTCTACCACTTGAGCCACTCTGCCAGCCCCAGTGGGCCATCTTCTAAGAGCAAGGAGGAGGGCACACAGGGGTCCAGCCAAGCTGGCTACCATTTGCTCCCGAGCTATGCCAGCTCACCAGGCTGGACCAGGAACCTTCATGTTCTAAAACCCAGACCCTACTTCCTGAGCCAGAACAAGGAGCTAGTTCTGTGCTGGGCAGAGTTCACTGGAGAAATATGTATGGAAGGACAGAAGGGAGGAGGGAGCCAGGGAGGGATACAGGAAGTCATTCATTAGCTTAATGCCAGTGGAAACTAAGGAAAGGAAA